GCAAGCCTCCTGTGCCAAAGTTCACTGTCATCGCACGCTGCAAGCATACATTTTTCAACTTTCATGTTTACTTTATACACACCTCCAACTAGAGTTGCTGTAGCCACCAAGTCGTTATTCCTACTGTATATCGAACAACCTTCTTGGTTAAATGACACTCTATTTCCTTTAGCAATCAGTTCACTCACTGACAAAAGATTTGTCGTCAGATTAGGCACGCACAAAACACCATAAACAGTTATATTGTTCTGTGTGTCTTTTACACTTGTAGAAATGTCCATATCGCCTAAACATTTCACTGCTAATTTTTCGTGGTTAGCAACAGTAATTTCTTCAATGTCTGGTTTTCTCTTGTTGTATAATGCATTTTCATTGGGAGACATATGCCTACTCGCACCAGAGTCCAAATAAAAATCATTCTTATTGTATTTTCCGCTTAAAAATACAGCACTGAAAGCATATTTCGAAGAATTCGACGAAGAAACACTTAAATTTGGGCATTTCGACTTAAAATGTCCAGGTTGTTTACATTTGAAACAAATTATTTTACTTCTGTCAATTTGGCGTCTGTCAGAATCACGCCGGTCATCCACAGATTGATTACTACTGTTAATTGACACTTTTCTGTTAGAATTACTGCCACCTCTTGACTGATTTCTGAAGTTACTACCGCTTGCTGCAAAGGCACCTGCTTTGCCGACACTGCCAGAGTTTTCTTCTTGCATATCAAGCAATTTACTTTTGATGGTATCTGTTGTGATTGCGATTCCTGCATGCTCGATCGCCATCAACATGGGGGCGTACTTGTCTGGTAAACCGGCCAGCAGAAGGGAACCTACCCATTCTTCGCTTATATCAAACTTGGTTTTCCTTAACTTCTGTGATGTTTCAATCACTTGATTCACGTACGACTCCATATTTTCACAACTACTCAATCTCAAGGATATTAAATGTCGCAAAAGCCCTATTTTTCTGGTAAATCCCACATCTTCATAGAGTGATTGGATCTTTTTCATAGCTTCATTGCATGTGGCCGCGTCTTTAACATGCACATATAAGGAAGGATCTAATGTCAACACGAACTTCGCTTTAGCTTTTGCCAGAAGTACACTGTCTGTCTCGGTGCCTTCCAAACATTTAGAAAGTCCCTCGAGTACAAAAACGTTTTCTACCGCAAAGCACCATTCGTCGTAGTTTTCTCGACCAACTAGCTTCGGAACGCTTGCCAAATAGTTGACGGCCATCTTGTGAAAAAAGGAACGCCACCGATACCCGATTACGACGCAACGAAAAACGACGTTTTTTCTCTTCCCTTTCACTCCGTAACTACCGAAATTCCGTAAACTTGCCGTAACTACCGAAACTCGCGTTTTGGGCTGGTGTCTGGGCCCATAACCTATTAGATTTTAGGATAAATAAAACACCAAAACGACCTATTTTGTACTCGATACAACACACACCATCTTTTTTTTTAGACTACTTTTTATTACCCATAATTCCCATACACAGTTCCCATATGACATTCTCATCTACTTCCGCTAGGGTGCCGGTAAATTTAAATTTTTGATACAATATTCCAACATTGTAATGTAAAGATGAAAATGAAAATACTATAATTTAATAATAAATAAATAAATAAGAAATTATAAGCTAATATTTTTTAGCATATATGTAGGTCTAAAATGATATCTGAATAAATATATTTATAATTACTTTATTAAGATATATGTATTTAATCATCAAATTCTTGTGAATTAAGTACGTATGATAAAAAATGGAGTCAGAGTTGGCTTGGAAATGACGAGCGATGAAATTCATCTTACATATAAAAAAAAACAGTTACCTTTCTCATGCCACCTATGAAATAAACATTATTTTGAAAAATGTTGCTCATGGAATGGAACGCACAAGATAGAATAAAAATATTAAAATTTTAATATATTGACCCAATGCCAAAAGAACTTTTTTTGAGAGAGATTTGTTTTTATTTCATGGCAACATATCTTATTATAGATTTAGACAGCTCTAATTTCATTATCAATAGAATTAGACACAAATAAAACACTATAGATGGCTACATTTGAAAAGAAAAAGTAATTTATTTAATAAGATGAAACTCTCCTAAACCTAGCCTAGGACACAGTACATTCTGTTTTCAAAATTTAAATTATAGGTACATGATTTAAAAAAAATAAACAGACAAATTCTGTCCTTAATATCCATTATTATAGGATCCATCTAATTTTGGGGTTTCCGATATTCTCAACACTAGACTGCTGCTTCTCTAGACCTATTTTTTTCTACCTTTATTGCCGTGCTTCTTAATTCTTTGTCATGTCCAATTGTCCAAAATGTCTACAAAATATATAATATTATAACAAAAGGAAATATTCAGTCTCAGAATCTAATTAGTTTTAATTTATATGGAGTAATACAATATCATCATATTTTTGATCACAAGCAGGCCTTAGACGATTACCAGAAAAATAAATATTTTAAAAATTTACCCTGACTGTTTTTTGACTGTCAAAGACCAAACCCAGCTTGATGGAATTCCAATTTTTTGTATAAAGAACATCAGTCTACTCAAAAACATCCTATTTAGTTTATTCCCACATATTTATTACCAAAAAATGCAATATAAACAGAATATTGACGAGACATTATACATTAACTTAACATATTCTCCTTTTTAGTCACCCTAGAAGTACGGGTAATCGAAAAGCCGATCTAATCAAGAGCAATACCGTTAAAGCGAGTAATCACCAAACGAGATATTAAAATTGTGAAGCATGTTTAAGAATAACTAAAATTTGAATCAGTAGGTATATCAGGACCTAACTAAACAGATTTTACGCGCAAAGGTTTCAATAAATATCTATTATCTACGTCAGTGAGTTAAGAAGCTGTTAACTCACGCATTTTGAGTGAATTAAGAGCTTCTTAACTCACGCTCCGTGTTCAGATGATTACCAAAGAGAAAAAAATATTTTGTAAAACATTTATTTTGCACTAAATTGGAAAAATATGTTATGAGTACCTTTTCATTTCCATAGTTGTGTACTTTTCTTTCGGTGCACCATTTTTCATGCTTAGAGTATGTATATTCATACTTCTGTTTCGATCTTGCTGAAAGCAATCCAGAAATGGCTCTGAATGCCTCTTTTTCAATGTCAGAGGGAATACTTTTCGAATCGCTCATGTTTTAAACTAGTGACATCAGTATTATTTACTGTCATATTGACATTGCCATGCATGGTGTTATTTGAACAAAGGTATTAAGGTAATTGATTTTTAGGATAGGTGTATAGTTAAGTACAATAATTTTTAAAATTTATTGTGTGTTTTTATAGTTAGACGTAGATAAAATATTGTACAATATACGCGAGTTAACTCCATTAAGATACTTAATTTGCTGTCCTCCTTTCACGCAGTTGAGCAGCTCTGAACTGTTCCAGAACGCGATACTCTCACTCCATTCAATTGAGGCATAAAGTTCCAGAACTGTTCCGCGCCATATGGAGGCACGAGGCTATAGCCCAGTTCATGCACTTGCGAAATGCGATTTACGAATTGCAAAATGCGTTCTCTTTGCCTTGCAATTGGTCGCTTTCAAGGTCTTCCTTGAAGGTGGCCAATCAGAACGAAAACAGAACGCATTTCGTAAATCGTAATTCGCAAGTGCATGAACTAGGCTTATCGCGCACAGCTCCTTTCAGAACCGTTCTCGAGTAGCCCCTGGGCGTAAAGCCCGGAACTCGAAGTTCGCGAATGGAGGACAGCAATTGCTGTCCTCCTTTCACGCAGTTGAGCAGCTCCGAACTGTTCAAGAACGCGATACTCTCCCTCCATTCATTTGAGTCGCGCACAGCTCCTTTCAGAACCGTTCATGAACCGTTCTCAAGTAGCCTCAGGGCGTAAAGCCCGGAACTCGAAGTTCGCGAATGGAGGACAGCAATTGTGTGGAACTTTCACAGTCGCATCTTAATGATGCTTCTTAACTCACTTGTATCGTAAATATCTATTAAACTATCTGAGAGAGATATTAATCTATGGCTATTGCTACTTCGATTTTTTCAAAAAACACAAAACATCTTTTTAAAAATAAGCACCAAATTAATCACACAAACCAAATAGACATTTGAAGCATTTTGATAATTCCTTATTAAATTCCCTCAATCGGAGGCCTTGGACCCATTGCGATACCCCTGTATTTCTCCAAAAAAATCCTATATGGGTATTTCGCCAATGCAAGAAAATCTACAAAATAAAATAGTTATTTTTTGTAAACACTTCAGCGTTAATCCCAAACGGAAACTACTTGTCAGAAATTAGGTTTACAGATATACAAATTTGCCTAACGAACAAAACAATGCTTAACGTTTCGGAAAGTTTATCTCTTTCAGTCGTCGGAAGCAAAAAATATACAAAGAATAAAGAAAAAAAGTATTTAAAATATTTAAATTCAACTATTCGAGCTTTTTAAAACAGATACGTCTACAAAAACCGTTGACGTTCTGTTAAAATGACTACTTCAAAATTAACAATTACTTAATAAGGTAAAACCAAAAAGCCCCAAACTTTCTGTATGGTTATTTTTAATTTTTACGTATGTTATGTTTATTTATGGTATGCTCTTTAAAATCAAAGAAGCGATTGCCATACATTACTAACATCTACAGATGCATGAGCAATACATTTATTATTTATTTTTATTAGATTGTATTAAAAAAGTCTCTTTTCTTTTTCTTTTAGAGGCTATCGCTTTTTTCATTATGATTTTGGCGTTATTAAAATTTATTCTGTGCCCTGTGTCCCATGAATACTGACAAATATTAGATTTGTGAAAATCTCTCTTTCTTAAATAATAATATTTATGTTCTTTAATTCGAACAGTTAAGGGGGAGTCTAGATGTTTCACCAATGTAAAATTCATCGCATTCACATGGTATTTGGTATATTACATTTTATTTATTTTTTTATTATTTTTTTAAAGTATGATGGAGATGCCTGCATACATTTTTTAATGATTTGAGAGTTAAATGATTTTTTTATCTCTAAAGAAAAATTAAATCATATGTGTAAAACTTTCTTTTTAAAAGAAATAAACGAAATTTAAAATCATCTTTAATCTAAAAACATAGTGTTCAACGGTTAACAACTATATTTATGAAAACGATATGTTCTTCCTGAGTCCTATACTGGTTCGATGATCAAGGTAGAAATTATATAAATAGGAAAATCGTTATTCCTCGAGTAATCTAGTGACATATTGTAGCAAATATGACGTCCGGTTTCAAAAGTAACACAGTTGCTGGTTTCTTAGTTTTGGCGCTATGTCAAAATGTATATGGTTCTCATATATCATCACGTGGTATGTAGAATTTCTTTTTAGTAATTAGTAAAATTTAAAATAAGTTAAATTTCTGACACATTAATTTTGAAAAAAAATACTAGATGACCCATTATTCAGAAAAAGCGCATTTAAATAATAACGTCTTCTTCAAACTAACCCCCCATACTAAAATACTCAATATTTCTTGATATACACAGAGTGAACTAAAATTATATATTTCTATTTCCTACTGCAAATCGCACATCCTTTATACAGGGTGACCCAGGCAGAGCGTGCATTAGAAGTTTCTGGAGAACTACAATATCTAGATCGGAATTTTTTTGCACATCATTGTTTCACAACGAGATCTATCGATTAAAAATATTTTCAATATGGCAACACTTCCGTAAATAGCGGAAGTTAACAGCAACTTTCTTATTTTAAATGGGTACCCCTAATTTTTATTACAAGTATGTTATCGTTTGTGTCCAGGAAGGGTTCATAGTTTCATAGATGTCGATTTTCGAAAGAAATCAGTACTTGTATATTATTTCCTATATTTTTCATTTTATTGATTTTATGGAAAGCACTGTTTATTAAAATGTTGTATCCTATGTTATAGGGCTTGTTTCTCTCTACAATTTCCTGTCTCACAATGTACCGTTTGTGTCCGGGAAGGGATCATAGTTTCATAGATGTCGATTTTCGAAAGAAATCAGTACATGTATATTATTTCGTATAGTTTTCATTTTATTAATTTTATGGAAAGCACTGTTCATTAAAATGTTGTATCCTATGTTATAGGGCTTGTTTCTCTCTACAATTTCCTGTCTCACAATGTACCGTTTGTGTCCAAGAAGGGTTCATAGTTTCATAGATGTCGATTTTCGAAAGAAATCAGTACATGTATATTATTTCGTATAGTTTTCATTTTATTAATTTTATGGAAAGCACTGTTCATTAAAATGTTGTATCCTATGTTATAGGGCTTGTTTCTCTCTACAATTTCCTGTCTCACAATGTACCGTTTGTGTCCAAGAAGGGTTCATAGTTTCATAGATGTCGATTTTCGAAAGAAATCAGTACTTTTATATTATTTCCTATATTTTTCATTTTATTGATTTTATGGAAAGCACTGTTCATTAAAATGTCGTATCCTATGTTATAGGGCTTGTTTCTCTCTACAATTTCCTGTCTCACAATGTACCGTTTGTGTCCAGGTTGTTCATCATAGTTTAGAACCCATCATAGTTTCATACAGATGTCGATTTTCGAAAGAAATCAGTACATGTATATTATTATTTCATATATTTTTCATTTTATTAATTTTATGGAAAGCACTGTTCATTAAAATGTTGTATCCTATGTTATAGGGCTTGTTTCTCTCTGCAATTTCCTGTCTCACAATGTACTGTTTGTATCCAAGAAGAGTTCGTAGTTTCATAGATGTAGATTTTCGAAAGAAATCAGTACATGTATATTATTATTTCGTATATTTTTCATTTTATTGATGTTCTCTGTAAAATTTTATGAATTTGGATATTGAACACTCTTAAACATTAACCGTTTTTGAAAAAAATAATATTTAAAAATTTTGGGCGAAAAAAACTGCCTAAATTTGTTTACCCTAAACGTCAAATTTAGTGATTACACAGTCACTGTGACTCAAAGAGAAGACATTAGAATGTGGCTATCTATTTCAAAATTAAATTGTTCGAATGTCATATTATTATAATATTGGCCCTAGCTGTCATGGAATTGAGCGATTAAAAAATGATCATAAATATTTTTTTTTCAAATGGAACCCCACTTTTTTTATTTCACTAACTCAAAATAAAAATTCTAGAATACACTAATACAATAATAATTATAAAATGTTTATACCACATAATATACTTTTATATTATTGAAACGAAATATTTTTAATAAATATGATATTTTCAGACTCTGATGATGATTACAACTCAGAGGATATTGGCAAAATGTATTACGTATCTCCAGACAAAGGCAACTTTTTTCAAGCTTTGCTTTTTTGCACTTCTGCTGGAATGGAGTTGGCCACAGTCGAAAACGAATCCGAAACAGCTGTTTTAAATAAAACATTAGAACATGAAGACAAATTAAAAGGTTTGTATAAGTACAATTTATTATTAATGAATGATTAAATTTAAATAAATAAAAAGTCTAAACTTTTGAGTACTATTTTTGTTATAAATATTTGTTTCCGCACATATTCCACGGCTATTACTTTTCGAGATACAGCCAAGAGCTATTGTTAGTGGGACATCCGGTACAAATAAACTTAGACTTTTCTGTCGTTTTTCAGAGGGGTGGAAAAATGGCTATTGGTTGTCCGGATCGAGTCTGGCCTATCCCGAAACCCTGGAGTTTTACTGGACTTCGACAGGACAAAAAATGATCTACACCAACTGGGCGAAATCTGAACCTGACAACGCGAAAAAGGAGCAGTTCTGCGTGGCAGCTGCGCTTATTAAAAATAAAATCGTCTGGGGCGACAACGAGTGCAAGAATGTCATGAAATACATTTGTCAAACGAAACGTTCCTGCTGTAATAATTAGCATTTTAAATAATGTGTTATTAGCTTAGTTCAAAGAATATACCTAGCTAGAAAAAGAATGGACTCTGCCATACTGAAAAATGGTCCTACAGAAGTGGCGCCATCTATTGAGTAGGGCTTGTTTTAAATTGATCGAAGCGCGGGCTTTTTAAATGAACGTATTTATTAAATTTTACTCTAAAATAATTAAATTTGATTATTAAATCTTATTTTTTACACAAATTCAACAATACAATAACAAGTATCGTTGTGATATGTAAAAAATAAGATTTAAAAGTATAATTTATACAATTATTAAATAAAATTAAGGCCAAACATGTGAAATATTATTTATTATTTAAAGTTTTTATTTATAAGTGAAATATTTAAGCATCGTTTATTATAATAAAACAAGACCAACGTAATACGCCCAAAGTTTTGTAAATGGTATAAATATAAATAGGTACTTAAATGATGGCAAAAATAAAAGACTTACATTATATTTTTAGGGCCACAAACAAAAGGAATTGTATAATTAAAACACATATAACAAATTACAGTTTGAAAAACGTTTTTATAATCATTTATTTGATAATATCACAAAACATCCCCCTTTAGAACTTCGTCTGTCATGTTAAGAAATGAAAGTAAATAATAAAGCGCCTCTCGTGTTTGTTCGCACTCAAAAAATTTCAATTAATGCCTGTATATATTTTAATATATTTTTTAAATTTACATTTTTTTAATTGTAAAGTAATATATTACATAGCAATTATGTCAATTACAGGATTACAAGCTTGTTTTCTAACATTTTTTAAATAAAACGAATTATAAAATTTCAATATATGTATATTTGTCGTAGGTATGAAAAAAGTAAAATATAAAATGGACAAACGCTTACTTACATTGCAATAAAACTTCCACTTTTAGTTTTGCAATCCAAACGCAATATTTCTATTTCACAAATAAAAATATCCGACAACACTAAAATCACTGAAATTTCCGCGGCTGACAACGAAAACTGAAAAATATAACGGCACTTTTTGTTTTGAACCTGCATATCAACATTACGGTGTACTATTATGTGTTTGTTGTTGAAATAATATAAAATATCTAATTATAACTTGTAAATTTTAATATTTTAACATGATTTTAACTACTTTTGACAATAACCTTTACAATAACTCCTAACTAACTTTTTGTTATCAAGATGACATTTTAGACGGCAACTGACATATATGTCATAATATTTGAATCTTAAATATATATGTAATATAATTTAAATTACTATAATGCAACTGTATACTTAGAAAACATTTATACATTCACAAAATACAACAAAGTCTAATAATATAGTTTGAAAACAATGAATATTGAATTAAAATTGAAAAAGTTAAGCCCGACCCCTTGTGTCAAAATTAGAAGATTAAATTTTCGCAATTTTTACACCATTTGATGACCGGTGGCGCCTCTAGTGTTTGTTCGGGCGGTTAGGCTTTTACTCCCGCTTATGGCCATTAAAGAAAAAGTTCTAAAGGGGGATGTTTTATGGATAATATTATAATTGGCGCTATGACAACGACAATATTTTTTGAGAATTTGACAATAATATGACAATGGCGTTGGAAACTATGGAAACTACAAAAAAATTCTGATTTAACGCCATCTGGCAATAACTAGTAGCAACTTCTTAACCTAAAAATTAATTGCACTACCACCTAGTGACTAGGGCTGGAACTATTTTATTTGAGATTTCCATGGAAACGGTGGAACCGCTTTTGCTATTTCACTTTCCCGCCCATTTCCCGCCCCTGGCTTAGTTATTAGGTTTGTTTCAACCTTTAAATAAGAAGACTAAGGAAGGAGCATAATGCTATCCATGTATTCATGCATGGTGGGCGGAAAAGCCACCATAAAAGCTCTCTAGGGTGGGGATCCTTGACAGTTCTGTTTGACGATTCATTTGACACATTTGAATTTGATTTGAAATTTTGTGGATTTGTCAGTCTTTACGGAGCTTATTTTATGTTATTTATTATTTATTCTACTACTGATAGTTGTATAAAGGTAGTAAATCTAGATGGAAATTGTGGTAGAACTTAAATTAACAGTGACACTATCGCGATTTATCGAAAAAGGCCCTAAAATAGTTGGTTCTGTAGCGTGCGGTAGATCTCGGCAAAAATTGAGTGAAATAATGGAACAACTTTTCGCTAGTAAGTGACTATATAATATACATACGTGTAGTTAACCGATCATTTATGAAATTCACTTAAATTAACTAAATTATATATTTTTCTTGCATTTTTAGCTTTTATTTATTACTTGTCAAAGATTAGATGTCAAAGAATTTAGATACGTTAATTTGACTTCCCTGCTTCAGTAGCGTATCGGATGTTTGTGTTAATAAATACTTATTATAACTTATCTATTTTTATTAGAATTATATATTTTTATAACAATTTTAATAACTACCAACATTTATTCACAACATAAAATAAAACAACAAATTATTGAGTCTACCCCACGTCTACCCTACATCATAGTTTTACATTTTTTAAATAAAATTAGAACGACACTGATAAACCGGAATTTAAGTCGGCCATATTTGAGGCCCATCGCGGTGTACCTAAGATTTTTGATATGCTCCTTCCTTAGTCTTCTTATTCAAAGATGTGAACTAATCTGTTCAAGGTCACATAAAACTTAATCCCAGTGCCGTGGTGTTTCAAGTTATATAATAATCAAGATATAATCTGTTGTAATTTGTTGGTTTAACTGTCAAAGTCTTGTCAAAACATATATTTGGTTATAAATATAAACTGGAATGCCCCATTGGTCGCACTGCAAGCACACCAATGGACTAACGCACAAAAACGAATCAATCAAAGAAACGCGATATAGTATCGTCTTTGTCAATCACGCTAACATTTTAGAATAAGTAGGAGGAGCGCAGGCAAATGATTAGACCGGGCCTTTAAAAACCTACGTCTGCGGTAAAAATGTACGTTTTTAATGTAAAAATGATAGCGAGCGTGTCGATTCTAACTTCATCAAGTGACGAATCACTCCCAAACATTCGTGGCGTTTAATATAGCTAGAACCACAAAACACATACACAAGAAGAAGTGCGAGCGCCTTGCTAAATATTGGAAAGTGAAATTGACGTTTAAATTTGACACTGTTGACAAGTCTACTGCTACTAGCGCCCCCAATTTCGCTTGTAGGAACTACGGACTAAATTGTCACGCATGGCGGGAAGTTTAAAAAAAATAAAAAAATTTATTTCTTCGTTTATTTTTAATTATGACATACACAAAAACACAAAAAATACACCATTTTTTAAAAATATGTTTAATATCAATATCAAATATACAACAGAAATTAATTTCACCACAATAAATTAATAAAATTAAAAGAATAATGTTACAAGTAGATCAAGAGACAAAATTAATTATAACAAAACTGAAAAAAATGGCGTCATAGATGGCTTAGAAATAAAAGATATATCATAATTTTGAAAGTAAAATTATATGGGAAATGTCTTCGATCATCATTTTTAAGCCAACTGGACGATTATTTCAAACATACAAGCTGAGTTCGTTCATAGTGCTCTGAGAAATCTAGATAAACAAAGAATAATAAATTAAAAGTATTCCAGGGGAAAAGAGAGGAAAAACCTGTATCGTCTCTGATATCTGTCAGGGTATTGTTGAAAGTGTCATCTTTTTGCTCGAAGTTTTCAGGTCGATCAAAAAGATGACATTTACAACAATACTTTGCTGTAACTTTCACAAATATCAGAGAGAGTACATACAGGTATTGCCTCTCTTTTCCTCTGGGATGCTTTATATCTGTTGTTCTTTGTTTATCTATATTTCTCAGAGCATAATGCCGAACACGACTACAGTATATAATAATTTCAATATCCGAAGTGGAAAGAAAAAAGATCACCTTTCTGTTTTGTACTATGGTCCCTTTCTTCCGATGGCTCATCTCGTTGATATTTAGGAAGGATAAATAGGAAGGAAAATATAAAATTCAATTTGATTTGATGATCCTTTTCTGTCACCTAAAATCAGGAGAACGACAATGAGCATGTTAAGATGAAAAAAAAATTATCAACACTTACCTACACGTTAGTCCGAGGAGTTTTATTAAAAACCTATATTTGCCTAAATAATTTATGTATTAAATTTGCAAAGCAAAATGCAGCGTGTAAACAAAAGAAATAAAATGGCGACAAGTCAACGTCAACGACCCGACAAGGAGAAAAGTGGTATTTGAATAACAAATTATGGGTCACCAAAAATTGTTTTTGTCTCCTTTCAACGCACACTTTAGAAAGAAAAAGAGATGAACTGGAATACGGAAAGAACGTCAAGGTTTTATCTGTCACTCTTGTCAATAATTTATCGGTAAGGAAGATTCCTAGAAAATCGCTTCTAGTCAAGTTTTCAACCATTGCCAGTTCTCCCATAAGAAGTGTCATCCACCTGGCTAGAACGGTGATCGGGATTGCCAACATAGGATTTGTACGCGTGCGTCGACTTGGACAATTCTGTTCCTATACCAAAACTAAATGCGCATTAGAATGGCTTTTGAACTGATTTTAGAATCAATTTCATAACCTAATTTTTAATTATTAATATATGTTAGACTTATACACTCAGATGCAAAGAAACGCAACGGAGAAATTTTTGCTCAAATTTAAAGTGTTATATTTTTGTTACTTTTAGTCCTATTTTCATGATTTTTTAGCAAACTGTATATAATTATTTTAACTTTAATTCGAAAACTAAGTTTTTTTTTATAAACTTTAGCATATTATACAGAGTTAATCGAGGGCTTGTTTTTTCACCTTTTACGGTCAGAACCATGTTTCCTGAGCATTTTGCATTTTGTTCATTTCAATACATGCTTTGGTTAATTTTTAAGAGCGAAATGAACTGATCACGATCAATTTACAATTTTTTCAGTTAATATTACTTTTTGATATATTTTTTTAATATGACGAGATGGTTTTGGTGACTATTGGCGTAACGTCATATTACGCTGCATTGGATAATCTATACTAAATTAGGAAAAATGTTAAAGACTTGTAAAAAATACCCTAATACTTGGTATTGCCTCCCTTGGCTGCTATGACTACCTGTATACGTCCGTTCATTCTCTCATTGAGGCTGCATATCTCATAGTTCACAATAATCACCAAAGCCGCCTAACATATTGAAAAAAACAGGGACTTTTGTCATTCTTTAAATTCTGGTAAAAAAAAAATTGTATTTCTATGAAAACATTTCCAAAGCACCTTTTTACGTAGAATTTAATGGTTTAAGTATATTTTTTTAAATTAATAATTTAAGAGTTATCAACAGAAAAATTGATTTTTTATTTGGGACACCCTCTATATTTTTAATTAACTAAAAAGAATTTAAGATTACCTTTCCAAAAATATAGCACACTTGATATTTTGTTATAATCCTCTTCGAAATACAGAATTTTTAAAAGTTCGCCACTTTTAACTAGTAGGCTTTGGACCCCTTGTTGATGATATGCCCTTAATGGAACTCGAAAACATATTTTTCCGCCGCCTCTGAACGCTGAAGTTATCAGCAAATTTTTGCAGCCAATTTCAAGAATAATTGAATAGCTAACCAAGATCCCAGCCGCTGGCCGTCGAGGCCGCCTGACTTAGTGCTCATGGATCTAATCCTATGGATATATTTGCGGAAGAATAAAGGTTCCGTATTCTTCCGTATAATCTAGACAAGAATTAGAAATACTTAGCAGTTATGAGAGGGTATCTTTCACCCCCACTGAGTTAATGACTGTCCATAACAGAAGACGGTCGATATGTCGAACACCTGTAGCAAAATATCATGTCTTGGTTTGCTATTTATTTTTATTGTTATTAGATATAGTTTAAATGTGTTGATGTTGGTTAAATATATTTTAAATTGTTATAAAATTCCGCATCTCTCATAGCAAATATTATTTTCGTTTTAATTGATGTTCAGAGCTAGAATTTTTTTGTATTACAGCCGGTGCCGTTCAAAGCCTACTTATTTAAAGCGGGCGAATTTTTATATACTCTATATCTCGAAGAGGAATCGAGCAAAATGTCAAGTATGTTATATTTTTAGAAAGGTAATTTTAAATTATTTTTAATAAATTAAAAATATACAGGATCTCCCATATAAAAAATCAAATTTTCTGTTGATAATTCTTAAATTATTAATTTTAAAAAAATTATACTTAAACCATTAAATTCTACGTAAAAAGGTGCTTTGGAAATGTTTTCATAAAAATACAAAATTTTCCATAGCAAAAAAGTTTTAACAAACAGCGATTTGTTAAAAATGCATATTTTTTAAAAACACCCCGTAACTCCGAAGCGGTAACAGATATCGATATGCGGTTTTCACCATCATGTTTTTGACAAAAATTGAGCTCCAGACACCGATATTATGTAAGAGCGAGTAAGAAAAATATTTTTTTTTTTATGTAGCATAATATATGAAAGGTGTTAATATCAATTTAATATTCAAACAACATAAACAAAAGAAGCTAAACTCACCTTAGATGCCGGGACACTTGTGTAATCGAACTAGTGTACTCAAACTCTTGTGTAAACACTCACTCTCTGATCACGCAATTTGCAATCTATAAAAATAAAATTTACTTGAGCATCACTGGAAAATACACATGATCACATCACCATAATCGAGTATATAAAATAGTTAAATATTTTTGTTGTTTCCTAGCTAAGCGACAAGGCGTCTTTCCTACACACAAAAGGGATGGCCACAAAGCGACATAGCATAATATTGTTGTTCCGCAGCTAAGCGACAAGGCGTCTTTCATACACACAAAAGCGATGGCCACAAAGCGACATAGCTTAATATTGTTGTTCCGCAGCTAAGCGACAAAGCGTCTTTCCCACGCACAAAAGGGATGGCCACAAAGCGACATAGGATAATATTGTTGTTCCGCAGCTAAGCGACAAAGCGTCTTTCCCACGCACAAAAGGGATGGCCACAAAGCGACATAGCATAATATTGTTGTTCCGCAGCTAAGCGACAAGGCGTCTTTCCCACACACAAAAGGGATGGCCACAAAGCGACATAGCTTAATATTGTTGTTCCGCAGCTAAGCGACAAGGCGTCTTTCCCACGCACAAAAGGGATGGCCACAAAGCGACATAGCATAATATTGTTGTTCCGCAGCTAAGCGACAAGGCGTCTTTCCCACACACAAAAGGGATGGCCACAAAGCGACATAGCTTAATATTGTTGTTCCGCAGCTAAGCGACAAGGCGTCTTTCCCACGCACAAAAGGGATGGCCACAAAGCGACATAGCATAATATTGTTGTTCCGCAGCTAAGCGACAAGGCATCTTTCCCACGCACAAAAGGGATGGCCACAAAGCGACATAGCTTAATATTGTTGTTCCGCAGCTAAGCGACAAGGCGTCTTTCCCACGCACAAAAGGGATGGCCACAAAGCGACATGGCTTAATATTGTTGTTCCGCAGCTAAGCGACAAGGCGTCTTTCCCACGCTCAAAAGGGATGGCCACAAAGCGACATAGCTTATTATTGTTGTTAAACAATTTGAGTCATACGTAAAAATATAAAACACTCCAAAATAATAATACTAAATACCATTTGATAATTTGCCAGGTATTATAAATCACACCCAATAAATATTACTAAAATACTCTTTGATAAATAGCTGTCCATTACGTATCTATAATAAATAACGCTAAAACACTCTTTGATAAACATCTATCTTTTAACTAAACTATATTAAAATGCCCTTTGATAAATACTTGTCTACTATAAAACACACACACACACACACAAAAGTAATATTAAAATACCCTTCTCTATCTACTACTAAAGCTCAATAACTGTTAACTTAATAATAATAACTACCCTCATACAAATCCCAGTAATGCCCGTGAGTGAACAAAATACACTCACCTGTATAATACTTCATTCCTTCTATTCAGTCCCAGAAATATTTTCTACACAATTATAATCTGAATTTAATATTTTTTTAATAAATGGCGACGTTAGTCAAAATAGTCATCAACAATGCAAACCGCATCGTCTAGGAAACGACATTTTATACATGCGGTCAAGAAAAGTCAATTAGAGATTCAAATAAAATATTATTTCTTAAAATAACACAATTTAATATAAACAATTTTTTAACGGAAAACAAGACTCTTACAATTAGTTTTTGTCTATCTCCTATAGAAAATGGTGTTTCCATTTAAACGCGTCGAATTTAACCCACCCTGTACACTTTCTTAATTCGGTGGGAGTACCTCTTTATTCTGATGTTCTATATTTATTTCGTCATCCTCTTGCTTAATAATATTAACTAAATAAAAATGGAAAAAATTACTTTTAGTAGATGACAAGCAAATTAATATTTAGCCAAGAGTCATTGTTCAGTCAAAATTCAAGATTTCTCTGGGGGGTGCCGAGCAGTACCTGTGGGGGCACCCCTCAGCACCCCTGCAGTTACGCCAATGCCCTTATGTTATTCTGCCAAGCTTCAGTAAATCCTAAAATACCTACCTTGTCCCCCTACGATCATACAAAATATCAAATAATTAAAACAATATTTTTAAATCAAATTTTTATAAATTCATTTTAACAACCCCACTATAATTCTTAACAAACTACACCTATGATCATAGGTAATAATAAAAATAGTACCTAGTATTAATGTATGAGAAAACTGAAGTTCTTGCCATAAACTGGACATATTCTACTTTTTATCTCAACTGGAAGTCGTACCATCAGCCAAGCAAATTATAATATCTAACGAAGAGTGTACCATATAAGGAAAAAGTCCCTAACCAGAAATCAAGAGATGTTGCTCATTAAAACTGCAAAGAATTAAAAATAAAAGGAGCAGTGGTTTTATCAGGACCCAAGTAAAAGATATTTTACAGCGATGATTTTAAGTAATTGTATATCGAGACAGAGTTAAGATAACATTTTTTTTCTTAAAGAAACCCTTGTTATATATATTTAAATATTATTTTCTCAGTCTCAACGTTATTCAAGTTAATAATTTTGTTTATATTATATTTTCACTGTAGTCCTGTACTGTACAAATCCAGAAATTATATATATACAACATGAAATGTATAGGTATTTCAGAAATATAGCGACATCAAGCGAATATGACGTTGATTATAAGAAAAATTGCATTTGTTAGCTTCTTAGCTTTGATATTGTGTGAAACGATATATGGTTCAGCAATCCCACAATCTGGTAAGTTGAAAAAATCAATAATACCTTTGCTTATTAATAAGAAACTGAGAATATTATTATTTTATTTATTAGTATACATATAATATATTTTATCAAAATATACAAATTTATCTAAAAAACAAACAAATAGTTAACCCTTTATAAAGTATGCCTCCCTCATAGTCAAAAATTTATACAGGGTATTCAATAATATTTGCCACATATGGAAAAAGTACGTATGGTAAAAACTAATAATATGTTAATTTGAAAAACCAAAAAAATAATTTGTTAATATCAAGATTGTGTAGGCCGTTTAATGCAGCCAATTAAAAGTTATTTTTGTTATTTTGTTGAAATTTCGATAACAGCTACCTAAATTTTAGTTGACCTTGTATAGCCTGAATTGAAATTTGGCCCTAAAAGTTATACAGGGCGAGACAAAATTAATATGGAACATTAATCACTTTTAAAAGCAAGTTACTCCTTTATTTTTAATGGAACACCCAGTATATTGTTTCAGTGTTCAATGGGGAATTTATATATCCTCAAAATATTATTAAGGTTGCCTATCCCTCAAACTAAGATTTTCCTAGATATTTTAATTTTTATGATCTTGCGTCAGTAGATCTTTATTATTTGAAAAAATCTAGGTTGTGGCTGTGATATACCTTTTGTTAATTTAACAAAAAATAAAAAATTGTAGAGTAAAATACTCAACAGTAATAAAAAGATACACGTTTAAACTTGTTTTTTTGTTTAAACGTTTTTAACTAATAGAATCATATCAATTCTCTCTGATGTAGGATAAGTTTGCATTTTCGGCAAATTTCTGAGATTTTTTTTTGTTTTAACTGACACAAAATGATAACTAGCTGTTAAAGTTGGACTGATTAGACAGCTATGTTGAAGTAACGTCAGACATATCATAGCCACCTAGATTTTAACAAATAATAAAGATCTACTCAGATCCAATCATCTAAATGAAAATATCTAGGAAAATCTTCGTTTGAGGGGTAGGCAACCTTAATAGTATTTTGAACAGACATGAATTCTCCATTGAACACCGGAATAATATACTGGGTGTTCCATTTAAAATAAAAGAGTGCCATACTTTTGAAGGTGACCAATGTTCAATATTAATTTCGTCTCACCCTGTATAACTTTTTGGATCAAGTTTTAATTTGATTTAAAGTACAATAGTTAATTTAACTACATATTAGGTTATACCGGGTAAATTCCAATTCAGGTAGTTTTTATTGCAATTTAAAAAATGGTTCCTTATTTCTTGAAAATGTTAAATATGTCAAAAATCTGACATTTTAGTCATATACTTCTCTTATAAAACTCACCTTTATTTTTCTCCCAGAATCCGAAAATCAATTAATATATAGGGTGTTCCATTACAAAAAACACAACTTTGATATGTAACTTTTTTTGGGGACACCCTGTAGAACTCTCTATATTTTTAAAAAGTGCTCTAGAAACTGTCGTTCTCCTTGAAAGCTCCGCGGCGTGTGAGAGGCGCCACCCTGTATAAATCAAAATTTTAATTGCAAATCGTGTGGAAGTAATAGCTGACTTCGGGTTTCTCTTATTACCGATTCTGAACCGTCCTAGGACTGTGATGCGTATGCGCAGAAGGAAATATGAAGACATTATTTCATTTGCGCATGCGCTGCAGAGTTCTAGGACGTTTCAGAATCGGTAATAACAAGAACCCGAACAAAGCTAATGACTTCCTAAAATTCAATTTTCAATCAGTACAATAACAGTTTGCACGCTAAGTAACATTTTTTCTACAGTACGTCTGTCCGTTCTGTAGCTACGGGGTATCCGTGAGAGGGGAAACGATATTCTCTCGATGTTTTTTGTAAAAAATTAGACGACGCGTCCCATCAATAAAAATTCGACAAATTTGTAAGTAGCCAATAAAATGAGTGGGCGGAGCGATTTGCGGTGACGTACTCGTCAAGTCGACGTATAAAATATATTGCTGTTTATTTAAATGTTTTTTGTCCGCATTCCTTTCATAGACACAGATCCAGCAGACGTACTGTATATGTGGTAAATACTCTTGAACAAATTTGTATAAAAAGAATTTTGATTTTTTCAGTGTTGGAGATTTCCACAGAAGAGTCAACTCAGTCAGATAACTTACTCAGAAAACTAGGTATTTCGCCACTGAAATATAAAAAAACCTTTAAAAATATTTAGTTATCTAATTAAATAAAACTAAAAAGGTTACTATAAGATTTACGTTAAACATAAATTTTCTCTATATGATGTGCTTAAGAAAATGTATAGGCTACGCGGGTTTAAGCGGCGAGTAAACGAAAAAATTAGTATTAAGGGTGTCATTGAAATGGTGTAAAAAAAATCAGGGGGTGATAGTACTCCTAAAAATAGTAAAGAAAGTTCCTATAAGTATAGGGTGGAAAATGCATATTAAGGGAGTTAGGGGCACTGAAAGGGTGAATTTAAAAAACGGTTGTTTTGAAATTGCAGGCTTAAAAAACGAGTTAAAATTTCGAAAAAAAAAATTCTCTGCCATAAATTATGACCCTAAATCAAATGGTAATACTAAAAAATTATTTGGGAAAGCGAAAAGGGTAGTCTTTGCCAGGGTAGGGGGTTATTTCGCGAATAACTTTTTTGAGGTTATTTTTTTTGCAACGTGGGTTCATTTTTTGAAAACTACATACTTTTTCCTACAAAAAAGGTACTCTTGTTCTACATCGCCCAGAGCGATGGTTTTCGAGAAAATTGAAGACAAAGAGTTTGCTCTGATGGGTTGCCAACTGGTTAATCAACATAAACTTATGAAAGTTATGGCGGTTCAAAAGTAACCAAGTAGTTATTAAATAATTACAGTACGTCTGTCCGTTCTGTAGCTACGGGGTATCCGTGATCGGGGAAACGATATTTTCTCGATGTTTTTCGTAAAAAATTAGAGAACGCGTCCCATCAATAAAAATTCGACAAATTTGCAAGTAGCCAATAAAATGAGTGGGCGGAGCGATTTGTGGTGACGTACTCGTCAAGTCGACGAATAAAATATATTGCTGTTTATTTAAATGTTTTTTGTCCGCATTCCTTTCATAGACACAGATCCAGCAGACGCACTTTAATTGGAAAATCAAAATTTCATGATTTTTAAAACATCTTATTGCTTTAAAAACGAAATAAACCAATTACCAAAATTCCTTATTAAAATAATATATATATATATATATATATATATATGGGATTTGGTTTAAGTATTTAATACTCATTTCCAACTACAGCCTATTGCTGCCTTCCCGTTACCCTACGCCACACATCTCGATTTAGAGCGTCATCAGCTTCTAGGTTACGAGCTTCCATTGCTTCCGTAACCGTTCCGTTCCAGGATTTTCTAGGTCTACCTCTCTTTCTTCTGCCCTGGGGAGCCCATTGAAAAACTCTTTTTGGCCACCTGTTCTCCGGCATACGCAGAACATGTCCAAACCATTTTAAGCTGGATTTTTCGATTCGATCCAGTACTGTCTCCTCCGATGCATTCATGATACGCCTGACCTCGATGTTTGTCTTTTTTTTCCATCCTAGATATACCTGCACTTCTTCTAAGGTAGTCCATTTCAACAACTTGGATTTTGCGCTTCGCGTCTGCACTCAGAGTCCACAGCTCTGAGCCATAGCAAAGAACTGACTCCACCAATGTTCTTCCAAGTCTCTTTTAGTTGTTGCAGATAAGTTTCGGTCCCACCAGAGGCTGTTAAGACATCCAATAACTTGTTTGCTCTTCTGAATTCGGGTTTGTATTTCTTCTTTGCCCAAACCCTCGTTGTTGATAGTAGCACCCAGGTATTTAAATTTGTCTACTTGTTGAATCTGGACGTTATCATTAATGAAGACTTCAAAACAAGTGTTGGAATTGACAGCTAAGTATTCGGTCTTCTTTAGACTAACCTGAAGTCCCCATTTGTTGTATACTTGATAAAGCCTCTTAGTCATGAACTCTAGATCGTATGAGTCCTGCGCAATCACGACCTGATCGTCTGCAAAGCTCAGGGTAAATAGTGTGTTGTCCCCAATGGGTATTCCCATACCTTGATATTTCGTCTTCCATTCCCTAAGGGCTAATTCGACGTAAGCGTTGAAGATCAGAGGAGATAAGCTGCATCCTTGTCGCAACCCTTTTGTGGTGTTAATTGGATTAGATAGCCTGTGTCCTATCTTAACGTACGATTCATTTTCTTTATATAGCTATTTTATTATCTTAAGCAAAGGTCTATCTACTTCTAAGATATTCAATACTTCCCATATCTTGCTGCGGGGAATAGAGTCGTACGCTTTCTCCAAATCAATAAATGCTAGATGGACTTCTTGATCTACTGCTATCTTTTTTTCCATCACCTGCTGCAGGACAAAAAGGTTATCTGTGAAAGATTTCCCCGGTGTGAATCCGCTTTGGTCTTCCGAGATTTGTCACCAATACTGTCCCTGAGCCTACCCTGTAGCACCTTTCCAAAAAGTCGCTGACCGAACTGTTAATGCTTAGGCCTCTATAACAAGCGGGTCGTTACGATTTCCCTTTTAAAATTTTTAATATAATAATATAATAAATTAAAATAATGCATTCCTTAATTCATTCATAGTAAATGTTCAAAGTGACCACCATTCATTTTAATGCAGACATCTGATCTTCTCCAAGATCTGTGTACCTTGTGAAATATCCTTGGTGTTGTCCAAATTTGATTGGAACAGTCAATAATGCCAATTTGATAATGTGTTGCCGTAGTTGCTCTTCAGTATTAATCGGCACTGAGTACCAAAGCTTTCAAGTGGCCCCAGAAGTAGAAATCTAGTGGATTATTTCGTTTTTTAAAGCAATAAGATGTTTTAAAAATCATGAAGTTTTGATTTTTCAATTAATTATTTGATAACTACTTGGTTACTTTTGAACCGCCATAACTTTCATAAGTTTAGGTTGATTAACCAGTTAGCAACCCATCAGAGCAAACTCTTTGCCTTCAATTTTCTCGAAAACCATCTCTCTGGGCGCTGTGCTACAAGAGTACCTTTTTTGTAGGAAAAAGTATGTAGTTTTCAAAAAATGAACCCACGTTGCAAAAAAAATAACCTCAAAAAAGTTATTCACGAAACAACCCTCTACCCTTGGAAAAACTACCCTTTTCGCTTTTCCAAATAATTTTTCAGTTTCACCATTTGAATTAGGGTCAAAATTTATGGCAGAGGATTTTTTTTCGAAGTCTTATCTCGTTTTTTAAGCCTACAATTTAATAACAACTGTTTTTTAAATTCACCCTTTCAGTGCCCCTAACTCCCTTAATATGCATTTTCCGTCCTATACTTATAGGAACTTTTTTTACTATTTTTAGGTGTACTATCACCCACCGATTTTTTTTTACACTATTTCAATGACACCCTGTATATTGATAATTTCTGATTTCTGCCGTAGAGTGCGCTGCGGTCGGAATTTGTTGAAATCAAGTGAAATGCACCAAACCAATACAAAATCAACAGTACATATTGCAAGAAATTTAAAAATATTAATATTTCTTATATTTTATACATAATAATATTGTTATAAATTTCACCTGGGTTCATTAAATTATATATATACAGGGTTGTTCACCACATACGACACGGAGTATTGTAGCTAAACGATGAGATTTTTACAAATTGTAAGTTTTGGGTTCGATGAAGGACTATTAGAGGTACAATTTAAAAATAATTTTACAAGATACAGAGTGTCCCAAATAAGTAAAAAATATCAAAGTTGTATTTTTTTAAATGGAACACCCTGTATATTATTACATTTTTAGTTTCTACGATTAAAATAAAGGTAAATTTGATTAAGATTTATTATACTTAAACTTTACCGTTTTTGAAATATTTTCAATTTTTTTGAAATTGCAGTAAAAATTTTAAGGCTTCATTTCTCCAAAGGTATCAAAGTTTTTAATACTAAATATTTACTGTAGTTTATTTACTGATCAGTTATTGTGTTGCAATAATAAAAATAATACTACCTTATACAGAGTGTCTAAAAATTTATTTTAAATAATTATTAGCTTCAAACGGCAATAACTTGTTTAATTTAAATGGAACACCCTGTATATTTTACAAGAATCAGATGCACAATTTAATTGTCTATCAAATTATATTATACCATTTTTTACCTTTCTCTTTAAGTTTCCGTAGGAAATGCATTTTCTTGTAATTTAGAACTTATTTATCAATATACCCATGGACTATTGACATTTTAGATTATTTTTAAAGATGTACCAAATTTTTAAAGAGTACAGATACTAATATTGGCCATATAATTCGTTTATTTCATTAAAAAATAAAAAAAAAACTGTTTAAATATTTGTTAAAGAGGACCAATTAATATGATTCCAGTATTCAAACTACATTAACTGACTGTTTGCGTTGATTAATAATAATTGCTCCAAATACTAAAAAACTGAATTTTGTATGGGCATTAGACAGTGTGATAAAAAGTAACATCTTAAAAATGATATTTCATTTTTTAATAAATGCTTATTTATAACAACAAAGGCTTTAATTTGATAACTTATTATTATATTGATTTCTGACTCAAAAATCCACATTTATTTATAATAATTTATTAGCGAACACAATTAAGTATGTCATTAATTAGTATATGGGCGGAAATAATGGTGTTATATTTAATTAATGGTATACCCTTTTATAAAGATTTAAATAGTTTTCTTTTTGCATACAAATGGGCTAGTAATATTATCGTTTTGCTAAAAACGATAATATTACTAGTCTGTACATTTTGTACATTTGTTGCTTTAAAAACAATCTAAAATGTCAATATTCCATAGATATATTGATAAATGAGGTCTAATTTAGAAGAAAATGCATTTTCTACGAAAACTTGAAGGGATAGGTAAAAAATGGTATAATACAATTTGATAGACAATTTAATTGTGCATCTGATTCTCCTAAAATATATAGGGCATTCCATTTAAATTAAAGAAGTTATTGCCGTTTGAAGCTAATAATTATTTAAAATAAATTTTTAGACACTGTGTATAAGGTACTATTATTTTTATTATTGCAACACAATAACTGATCAATAAATAAACTTCATTAAATATTTAGTATTAAAAACATTGATACCCTTGGAGAAATGAAGCTTTAAAATTTTGACTACAATTTCACAAAATTGAAAATATTTCAAAAACGGTAAAGTTTAAGTATAATAAACCTTAATCAAATTTACCTTTATTTTAATCGTAGAAACTAAAAATGTAATAATATAAAGGGTGTTCCATTTAAAAAAATACAACTTTGATATTTTTTATTTATTTGGGACACTATGTATCTTGTAAAAATATTTTTAAATTGTAGCTCTAATAGTCCTTCAACGAACAGCAAAAACTTACAATTTGTAAAAATCTCATCGTTTAGCTACAATACTCCGTGTCGTATGTGGTGAACAGCCCTGTATATATATATAGATATATAATAGAGTATCAATAATTACTTAATGACTACAACAATAAAAAAAAGTATATTTTTGCGCTTGTAGATAATAACGATGTTAATAATTTCTTATTCAATTAAATTCTCAATTAACAAAGTAACATTTCCAATATTAGATCCATAAATAAGTAATTTTCTCTATGTGGCGAATACTTTAGAACAGGTTTGTATAGAAAAAAACAGTAATTTTGATTATTTCAGTGCTGGAGCCTTCCAAAGAAGAGTCTACTGATACCGATACTACTGACAACTTTTCGAAAAAGCTAGGTATTTCGCCACTAAAACAGAAATCTTAGAAAAATATTTAATTACCCATGAGGTACAAGCAAAAAGGTTACTAAGATTTATATTAATTGTTACAACAAATTTGTGAACGAGTAAACAGCTATTGAAAAGTTAGATTCTGAAATAAGTAACCTTTTTACTAAAATAAATATTTCAGTTTTTTAAGTTTTCTGTTTTAATGGCGAAATACATAAATCTTTTTCAATTTTTGAATATGCCGCACAACTATAGACATTATTTATACGTAAACAAATTTAACTCTTTTTAGCATCAAGCAAAAGCTCTAAATCGAAGGAAAAAGTTGACAAAAAGTACTACGTTTCCCCTGACAAGGCTAATTGGTTCAAAGCATTTCTTTATTGCGTTTCTGCTGGATTAGAACTGGCAACGGTGGAAAGCGAAGCTGAAACTGATCTGTTGAACGAGGTTTTGGATAAAGACGATATAAAAGGTTAGTTAACTATGCTTTTTGATTCTATGTGTTATACAATATATAGGGTGTACCGTTTAAAAAATTTGAAATTTCTTAATTTTTAGTAGTTGATATTTATAAATATATTTTGAATACCCTATAGCATCTAACTAAAATATCTTTACATACGTCTTTTTCTATATATCTATAAAATTATCCTACAAATTTTAATTCTCCAACTTCAGAAACAATGGCATCACTGACAATTTTTTACCACACTGCAATCTAACATTTGTTTAAACAAATTTAAATATTACAAAAACTATTATTTTTAGGTATATAACATTATATATAAAAAAGTTAGGGAACTTTACGCAGAATCTAAAAATAAAATAAAAAATAGGGTGTTACATTTAAAAAAACATATGTTAAATTCGCCACACTTTTCTGAAGCACCCTGTATATTCTATAATAATTTTAAAATACGTATCTTAACCTTCCCTATAACTTTTGTATTTAACATTTTTTTGTAAACCTCGAAATAAATGAGATAACGGACTTAATTAAAAAAAATAATTTTACTATTTATTTTAATTTTTTTAGAGGGATGGAAAGAAGGATATTGGTTGTCGGGAAACAGTTTAGCGTATCCTGAAACGCTGGAATTTTACTGGGCCTCTACCGGTCAGAAAATCATATACACAAATTGGGGAAAGGACCAGCCCGACAACGCCGGCAAAAAAGAGTTCTGTATTGGCGTTGGCCTGGTTGGCAAGAAACCCGCCTGGAATGACTATGCCCCCGAAACTGAACTGAAGTATATATGTCAATCTCCACGTCCCTGCTGTTAGTAAACGCCTTGTAGATATTACTACAAAACTTTTACAGTTATCCTATATATAATTAAAATGAGTTTGCTTATTTTCATAAAAGAATATGAGATTAATTTTTAATTTGTTTCCAGCTCAGCCTAAAATTATTGTAATAGTAATAATAAATCATTAAAAATCTATAGTGTCTTTATTTTTGACATGGAATAAAACAAAAAGATCAAAAATAAAGGTTTTCATTTGAAAAAGGAGATTTTTGTATTTTTTTAACGTAATTCCCATCATATTTTTTGAGAACCCTGTATATAATCTAATAACTAGAAAAAGTTTTGTTGTATCCCTGCCTATATTAATTAGATCATGATATTAGTTTTAGGAAAATTCTCTCGGTTTTAAGTTACGCCACTGTTAAAATTATACTGTACCAAGTTTTTCCCACTATCAAGGGCTTATAAAAACATTCATTACCCTTAAAAGCAAATAACCGTCGGACCAAACTCTTTTAGTCATAAATGACCTTTTAATTATTATTAGTCGAAAGTCCCTATTGTAATAATATAGCTTTGTTAGTCATGTCCGTTTCTATACACAAACATTGTAAAGTCTGGAGATTAGTTATCTTTTTCTTGAAGAATCGACACCTTAGTGAACTTTACCCTAAAAATATTAAAAAGTATATTGTACGCCTCTGGCTATTGGGAAGTCGGAGACCGTATTTAAGAAACTGAAGGAGAACACTCCAGAGATTTAATTCGTTTCATTCAGAGGCTCGCTTACTCTAAAACACTCTTCCAAGATGTAGCCTTACCAAACATACTCTCTTTACTTTCGACAGTCTCTTTTATTTTCGATACATTCTTGACAGTTATATTCGGCAATTTCTATATTTACTTGTAAAACTAATTGTAAAAGTTTCCTAAAAATAAAGTACAAAGTATTTAAGATAAAGTGTAAGTTATTTATTATAAATAAAAAATCGGTAAAAAAACTTTTAAGTTAAACGGTTTTATCTTATGTGCACTGAAAACTAGAAAATAATAATAACAATTAGGTATTTTGAACTACTAGTTCAGAAATATTTTAGTACTAGGCAGAATAGCTTTTAGGCATATTAGACTAAAATAAAAACGTGGGGCCCCTCTGAAATCCTACCTATGGCAAAGCATATCTTTATACTTTGGTAGATAATGTCGATGCAATCCACACTTAGTATAGAAGAAAATATTACAGCAATAGTTAATGGGCCCCACGTTTTTATTTTAGTCTAATATGCCTAAAAGCTATTCTGCCTAGTACTAAAATATTTCTGAACTAGAAGTTCAAAATACCTAATTGTTATTATTATTTTCTAGTTTTCAGTGCACATAAGATAAAACCGTTTAACTTAAAAGTTTTTTTACCGATTTTTTATTTTCTAGTTTTTAGTATTTAACGGAAATGCCTACCGAGTATTCCTCATTCTATTTAATTCATTTAGTGCATCATTATTACATGGTTTTTAACCTGATAATTTATTACAATCTGACGCTCAGGTGTTTCTGACGCTAACAACTCTCTCTGTCTGTCGCGTTCTGATGCTAGCCTAGACTCATGACGCTCAGGTGTTTCTGACGCTAACAACTCTCTTTATCTCTCTCGTTGTGATGCCAGCCTAGACTCATGACGCTCAGGTGTTTCTGCCGCTAACAACTCTCTCTGTCTGTCACGTTGTGATGCTAGCCACTCATGACGCTCAGGTGTTTCTGACTCTACCAGCTGCCTTTGTCTCTCACGTTGTGCTATTAACCTGGCATTATGTTGCTCAGGTGTTTCTGTTGCTAACCGTTCTCTTCGTTTCTGTAGTCGACTATAGGTTTCATTTTCACTTTCTTTTGCACGTTTCGTTCTATACTTTTCTTTCGCCTTTTCGAGCCTTCTTTTTCGTTGTGTAGCAGTTTGTTTTTATTTTTGTTTGTTTTTTATTTATTGTTTCCATGTTGTTCCCACGAGTAATGGACATTTTAACGGTCGACCCCCCAGAGGTTCAGTAGAGGGACAAGGCTATAATATACAACAAGAAGCGCCCAATCTTGAGGGGAAAACGCTTGCGACATTACATTTTTAGCCACCCTAATGCCATACAGTCCTCAGCACGTTTTAACCTATTACCTTAACTTGGGTGGTAAAGCTACCGCTAACTACGTAGGTACAGCTGGTTCCAAAAAAAATGAATACGACTCTTTACACATTTTTTTCGAATATTTGAGCAGTGTATATTTATGTGTCAAGTATTTTGGCATGTTAAGGTTATTGTGACATTGAATAAAACAACTTTGCTTTTGACAAAGTGGCAAATTAACTTTTCAGAATGTCAGCATGACACGAGTAGAGAAATGGAGGACGGGTATCATAGAATATACTGCCCGAAATAATAAAAATATGTTTTAAATCGTATTCAATTTTATTGGAACCAGCTGTACATCTAATCACCTATTTTTTTTATCTGTCCTTCTAACGTCACACAATCTTGGACACAACTGTTCTGGTCACGACTACTCATCACCTCACCTAATACACCATTTTGTAACGACGTCCATCTTGGATTTTAAATTTTGTCATAATCACAGTATTCTACTAGTGTAGCCCTTTCATTTGATACCCATATTGAGGGGGTTGTGGAAAAATATGAAATCCGCCATTTTGTACCGGCGGCCATCTTAGATTTACAATGTTATTGATATTACTATATTGTATTGTCATCGGAACTAAAGGTGTGTACCAAATTTCTGATCAATCTGACAACAGGAAGGTACTTAAATTTCAATTTCTAATTTTGACCCAAACAAATAAATAAATACCGTACGGGTCGAGCTAAATAAAACCGTTTAAAAAGGCAGGAAGGCAGCAGGGGCGTAGATAGGTGTATGCTATGGGGGTGGTACTATGATTAAGTTGCAAAAAAAATCACACTCGGAATTTTTTTGTCGAACTAAAACGACGGCGATTTTTCTGTCTTCAAAAAGATATAAAAACATAACACAAAAATTAAAATATAGATTTGTAAATAACAGAAACAAAATGAAACAATGACGTTTATTAGTTAATTTTCTATAAACTATAAATAAAAACTCTAAACTATCAAAAAAACTATAAAAACTATAAACTATAAATAAAACTACAAAACAAAATCAAGTTTTCTAGTACGCTGTTTGGAAAACCTATCAATAACAGCATCAACATTTATTTCAATATCTTTATGGATATTAATTATAGTTAACCCCACTAATCTGTCCTGGCCATTAAGAACACTTTGTGTGCTTTTAATTAGGTCAAACATATTATGAACGATAAATCAACATAATTAAAAGCATACAAAGTGTTCTTATATGTCGGATATTAATTAAAAAAAATCCTTTCATAGTCAATGACTATTTCAATTCTCGTATCTCGTCAAGCGTCAGGGGGGGGTACTGTCCCCCAGTACCCCTCCCTTATCTACGCCCTTGGAATGCAGTAGAAGTATCTCAACATTAAAAGAAGCAGTTTCATCCAGAACATAAGAAGAAAATACTACATATTGGCAGGTTCCTTACAGTTTACTGCTATATAAACTTTTCTAAATCGATACAACAAAAATTAGTTCTGGAGCGCTTTCAGATGGAGCGGAGCGTCCGCGGCTTCCAGCTTGTACCATTAGTTTATATATGAACAATTTCACATGGGTCGCGTATGCTTCGTCCGGATGAGTTCGTCGACGGCTATCTTGAAAAAAACAGGCGGACGCTCCGCGCGGACATTCCGCTCCATCTAAAAACGCTCTAACAAACTTGAAGTCGAAAAAAACCCTGATAAAAATATTCGTTTCGTAAGCGGATGGTCTGTGGTTCAAATCTCACGCCGTCCAAGACTTTTTTATATTTTTTTTGCTTATAGCGTGATCTTATTGCATTGGTTTCACACTTTTTGGTTGGATTGGTTTAGTTATTTGGCGGGTTGGTTAGCGTGGTTATTTGGAGGGTGTTAATTCATTGGTTAGTTGGTTATTTGGTGGGGTTGGTTGATTTTTACTAATTTATATTTGTTTTTTATATTTTTTATCAGTGTCGAAGTTAGTTGCGTTGGTTAAGTTGGTTATTTGGTGGGGTGGATAGCGTTGGTTAGTCCTTATAAAATGCCTATATTTCATAAAGCCGTCAAGTGCGTCACATCAACGACGTCATACCTATTAACGGCATTTTAGTAAGCTACCGTTTAACGGCAGTTTAAGTACGCCTTTTTTTTCGCAAAGAAAACTCATGAGCGCCACAGTGGGGTATTTGACACTGATAGTTGATCGAAATTTTTTTATGTAGACCTTATATAAATTATTGCTATTTTCAATTAAAGAGGAAATAATATGAACAAAATAAAGGATAATTCGTCGATTCTAAAAAAAGCTTTGTACACAACAATGCCATCGCGGTTTACACCTCGCATTAGTATATCACTGATTGGCAAATTAGAGGAAACCAAGAATGTTTTTCTCATTTTATCAGCAAAATCGCAAAAATTCGCAGTATTTTATTTTACTGTATGAAAGCCCAATGTTTACTAAGTAAAACGTATATAGACAATATGCTGGATTCTTCGAAATGCGCAACTAAATCTCTAAGTAATAATAAAAATGTCACAAATTTAATCAAATTTTCTGAACGCTTAACTTTTAGTTGCAAAAAAAATCGTTAGTATAGAGAATATCAAAATAAATAATACGTTTATGTACAATACATACCTGCAGCTTGCTGAGCCATTTTCAATCAAAACAATAATATAAACATAAAAAGAGCACAAGAACAACAACAATTTATAATTTTAAACATAAAATTTAGCCATTTACCTCTTATCCGTGAGAAGTAACAACTTTGACGTTTCGTTGAAACAAATGAATGCAACTAAACACACCCATAGCAAAGCCATTCATGGCAGAGATGATTTAACTTATCATTTATCTTTTTTTGGGAAATCTTAAACACATTTGCTTTTTCGAATTTCGATCACCTTTTTCATGCTAATTCCCTTCACTTATTTCTGGGACACCCTGTATATTTTGATTATGATTTTTACATATGATTAACGAAAACGATTCATCTTGATATTTCGTCAAAAAAAT